AAAAAACTATTGTTGCTATTTAATTCAAAATAATGTTCGGTTTTGGTTTGAGTTATTTTCTGTCAACCCTTACCTTGTTTATGTTCTTGTTGTTTAAAGGTCATGAAGAAGACAAGAACCAAAAGATTCCTTTGTGTATTCTTTTGGTGTAACAACTAACAAAGACACTGATTGTTACAAGCGAACCATAAATGTAACAAAAAGGGAAGAAAGAAGAGATCTAATGTTGAAGAGAAGCTAAGACTGAAGATACAAAGTGAAGTGAACCGGTGACTATAACCATTCCCGAGTCATCGTTGAGAATCTTGTAGGCAAGTTTGAAGGAACCAAACACATTTTTGTTTTCTGAAGCTTCCATAAACCCTAAACCTAACTCATCAGCAGCTTTTATCCATGATTCTTTCAAAACCGAACACTCTGTTGATCTAACCTTACCTCCACCAATGTCAGTTTCTGTTAAGACCACTGCTTCTGGTTTTAGACCTGAGAGAATCTCTTTTGCAAAGGAAACATGATCTTTGTCACTAGCCATTGCAACCACAAACACTAATCTCTTCTCTGCAAAATCTTTCTTTATCATATCCTTTAGAGCTCGAGCAGATTCTTTGGTGTGGGCTGAAAAAACAGACCAAAGACTGAATACCGTAAAGGCGTAAACCAAAAGTTTCGAGCAAAGTAGAAACAGAGAGATTAAAGCTATATCATCAAGAAAAATGGCGAAGAGAGACCAACCAACCTCCATCAAGAAGCACTGTTGCTCCTGGTAATTGTAATGTGTCTGCTTCGTTTGGTGTCAGAAACTGACTTCTACCAAGTAAACGAGTATTCTCTAAACCAATCTGCATTGCTTCATTTGTCACTCTCCCCCATCCTGATTATTCCGTCAAGAAGTAAACCAAAATTGTAAACTTTTACTTTTGTTTGTTTGTTTAATACGAACAATATATGGATTCAAAGTGAATCATACCTTGATCACGAAGACAGAGAGACACGCATGTGGCAGTAACCGCATTTTGGAGCTGGTGATGTCCAAGCATGCGTAGATTTACATCACCAAGCTCAACAATCTGCATTTATGTATATGTATAAATTTTGTTGGTAAGATAACTAAGAATCACAGATAACTTTCTTCTTATGAACTTTACTGGTTTATCATCTCTCTCATTTCGTATGACAATGTCACAGGACTGACAAAGCCCAATCCCGTTTTTGTTGATGATGCCTTTGATTGAAGAATTAGATCCAATATTTGATGCCAATATTACCGATGACGACAATGATGCTGCTTTAGAACGAAGAATGCCCTCGATATGTGGAAGAAACGATCCACCTAAAACCACCTACAAGTTTTATAACAAGGCAAACAACTCTATCTATCAAATGTGCTTATAACTAACGATCATAAAAGAAGACAAGCAAATACATAAAAAACCACCTAACTGGACGACTGTGTTTAATAATTCCAGATTTCGCCTCTGCTATACTTTCCAAAGAACCACCAAGAGCAGCCAAATGTTCCTCACCTATCGTCGTTATGACTGATGCAGCAAGATTTGAACTTTCAATGACATTTGTAGCATCACGAGCTCCTCCTAGCCCAGCCTGATGATAATACCAAATCAATTATAGAAACCGAGCATCTACAAACAATTGAATCTATAGGACTAGCTAACCTCTATAACCGCAATGTCGACATTTTCTTTCGAAAATAATGAAAAGGCTATCCCTGTGAGAATCTGTTGAAAAATATTAGAAAACAGAAACTGTGTGGAAGAAGGTAGAGAGAGCCTAAAGGGAAAGTAACATGATTAGTAACCTCAAAATGACTCAAAGAACCATTCTCCTCTTGAATAGACTGATCGAGGATCGGTTTAATCGAATAGAAGAGATCGTTAAGAGTGGATGCAGAGACAGGAACTCCATTACAGGAAATGCGTTCTTTGATACTCAGAATATGTGGACTGAAGAAGAAGAAAAGGTCATGTATGAAAGATTCAAACTCAAGATGTTAGTCCAAAGTGAAATATATTTACCTAGAATAAGAACCAACTGAATATCCTGCTGCTCGTAAGATATTGGAAAGAAAAGTACAAGTTGATCCTTTTCCCTTTGTTCCAGCCACATGAACAACCTATAATCAATCACTGCCCTAAATGTTACTCATTTCATATTGAAAAATTCCAACTTTAATTAAAGATGATGGTAAATTAGCAAGCAAGAACGGACCTTGTAATTGAGATGTGGAGTATTGAGACGAAGCATGAGACGTTTCATTCTAGCGAGATCGAACCCTTGACGAGAATCAGTTCCAGCTCCTTTTGGCAGACCAGATTTCTCATAGTTTTTGAGAGATTCTAAAAACCCAACAAAATCTCTGAGCTCAGGATCTTGGTCAGTGGAAATGATGGGTCGATGTGAGGTCGAATTTGGTGCGGATAATCTCGGAGAAAGTTTGCAATTCGAAATGGCACTCAAGTGGCTCCACAGTGCCCTCATCTTACAAGCAAGGCTTTGGAGACATGGCACCGGACCAACTCATCTCGATTCCAACCATTCACTACCTTCTCATCTTCTACAATCGTAGTTCTTTGCAGGACGAGACAAAACTACGCTTCTTGCTGGGTTCTCTTTGGGCCTGGTTTCGTTTGTATTTTGGGCTCTGTAATAACTAGGCCCGACCATATGGGTTCGGATCGGATTCTAAAAGGTACGGGTTGTAACGGGGTATAGAAGTTGTGTACCCAATTAAATTTCGGTACGGTCTTGGTTCTGGTCTAAAGCAAATGTACCTATAATTACGAAGTTTTTTGGTACGAGTTCGATTCCAGGTTATTTCATGTTCAGTTGTACACGAAACTGTTATCTAATTAAAAAACATCCTAATTAAAAATAACAAAAAATATTTGAAATACCAATACAAAGTTCAAATTACTTGAAAATGTGACAAAAAAAGGTTGAAGTTGAGATACAAATAGGAACCTATACCCGAATATGTACCCACGGGTAAGAGCATGTACTCGAACCTGTACACACCAGTCTAAGATTTAAAACAGACATATGCAAACACGATCCAAACCGGGAATATCGGGTAGGTTCTATGGTTTTTCAGCAGTTTAGCATGCAAACCTACCAAATAAAACCTAGCAAGCGTAGAGTTCGAACACAAGGAATACTAGAACTTAGAGTATTAGACCATGGAGAATCTCGTTAAGCTAAAGCATAGATAAAGGGTTTGGTTGTGAGGGCTAAACTAAACTGATATTGTAGTGAAACGTAAAATGAACAGAGCAAGAAATGGATGTAAATGTAAGGATGGTGAAGACATTGAGCTACGGGATGACAACTGATAAAAAGGCAGTAGATCGTGGCTAATAAAGTCAAGGACTTTGAGATGAAGGTTCAGTTTACAAGCATGGGACACGAAATCAAATCAGTCCACTTTCGTGGCACTAATCACTTTGTGGAGTACAAGCATTTAACTAACTTTCGCTGCTAGATACAAGTACTCTCCAAACATAAACGGTCAAGCCTCAATAAGCTCACTTAGCATCTCAATAGCACTTTCATGATCGAGGGTTACTAACTTACTAAGCCAAAAGTCGTTCATGCATTCCCACAAACACCTTTCGGGCAGGGGAACGCCTATTGACACGATCCAAGAAAGGATTCAACGTTCGAGCTTTAAGCTCAACCTAAGTTTAAGAGCGCTTCATTCATGACCGAGATGATGTTAGCCACTATCTAAAGTTCCTAAATCTACCAACCCGCAGCTCAACGAGGAGACTACTTACTCATGGCGATAGAACAAACCATGACTAAGCTCGGGTGGCGTGTGTATGGTGAAATGCAGAAATAAATGCGATTCAAGTACAGAGACTCAAATTTTAAGCTAAAGACTTAAACTTTATAAAGATATGAACTTAATACATAAACATGAATTAATTTAACATTTAAAATAAAATTTATTGTAAATTTTTTTTTTTGGTTAGGTGGACTCTTTAAATATATA